ATCTCTGCCGCTCGGGGTCTGGGGGAACCTTCCAGAATTTCAAGGAAAGACGGCCCGTTTTTGACAAGCATGGTTGAAAAGAAGGGGGGAATCAACCCCTGCGCAAACTAACCTCTGCAAACTAACCTCTGCAAACTAGCCTCTGCAAACTAGCCTCTGCAAACTAGCCTCTGGTAACTAACCAGAAGGTGTACTTCTATGCAAAAACGAATGCGCGGAGCCAAACGCCCGGGAGTTCTGAACCGAGCTCCAGGCCCCAGAGCTGCATCTCCAGCTGCCCTAGCAGCGTGTGCTCCGGGGAGCAGAACTGCGCCTCGCGCGATTTTCCGGGGCACAGGCTGGCCAGGGATTTGACTAAAAGATATGAAAAGGGGGGTGTCCGATTCCTTTTAGTGGGGGTTCAGACCACTTTTGGAGGGAACACCATGGAACACCCAAGTAATGGGACGGGTTTATGAAAATAAATCCTGGGTCAACATGATTGGCAGGCTTCTACTCGGTTGCTTTCTGCTCCCCTGCTAAAAGTGAATAGCTTTTCGTGGATTGATACGGAAAACCCCTGCGTCGGCAAAAGGCTCATGTCCTCAAGGAAGCCAGCTGGCGCATCCGCTTGGACCGCCAAATCAGCTCGAGCAAAGGACGGTAATTTCTTCCACACCGTTGCTTGTGCATGTGGATGTTTCCCCTCCCCACCCCCCAGTCATAAACCAGCAATAGGCAGAGGCTGTTCCACCAGTGGATGGCAGCTGGATGGCAGACGGTAGGCAAGCAAATGGCTGTGGTGCAAAGCCAAGGCCATCCCAAAATGGTTGGTTTCCTTTTGGCGCGATACACCGATACACCAGGGTGCAGGTAGATGGCAGTTCCTTCACTGTGGGTAAGTAAAGGGCATGAGTACTTCAACACTGGGGGGGGGATGTGCCGCCTGCTTTCAGCCATCCCAAACGAGCCAATCCCCGGCCTGGGCCCCATAGAGGGGCGCCACCTGAGTCAGCAATGTGGCCGCGATTGCTTGGGTCATCTTCCCACCTGGCCTGGTGAAGTGCAGTGCCTGAAAAAAATATCCAAGGTCCTTGCGAAATGTTCCCTAAACTAATTTCTGACCCCGGGTTGCAGAGCCGCAAACATCCGACCATTGCGAAGCCCCAAAGCCACGTGCCATGTCTCTCATGTGATCCAGACCTCCCAAAGCTCGAAGATGTGTGCAGGTCGTCCATTCCAAACCCTGACTTCCATTGGCGTTTCGCCCCCTGGAGAAAATGAGAACATCTATGTGCAGTAGGGATAGTTTCCCTTTAAGGCCAAACAGGAAAAACTAGCAAATATTCTTAAGCAAATGGAAGCTGAAGATAGCCCTGAAGCTATCCAAGATTTGGGCCAAAGAAAGACTCAAGCGCCCCAGCCACTATCCCCGGCAAGTTCACACACATTTGCGACGCATGCCACTTTTGGCTGTGGGGAATCGTGTCTGACTCCTGCGCCGGCAAAGTCAGTCTTAGCAGCTCGAGAGCCAAGCCACGCACTGTTTCGCCAAAAGGTCGGTCTCTCTGCGATAGGTTGCGATGAGCTTTTTCCAGGCAGCCCAAACCCCCACTGTAAATTTTGTGTCAGGAACCGTGGGAGGGCCTATGGAAGGCAGCTAAAGAGTTTCAGAAGGGGTGATGCATATAACCCAAAATCGAAAGAAGTTTGGGGCCCTTCTGCTTGTCCAAATCTGACGCAGGGACAAACGCCTTCCCATCTCAACCCCAAATGAAAGAAGTCGATGGTCAATGCGCAACACTACCAAGCAGTAGTAAACCAACACGAAACCCGCAGAATTGACAAGAAGAACACAGGCATTCTTCGTTCTTGCCGCCTGGGAAGCCGTCCCCTTTTCTTGGTGGACATTGGAAGGGGGGCAAAAAATTGAACATGTTGGCAGTTTAGTGGGGGTTTCCCACCAAACCACAAAAAACTAAAATGCAAAATGTTTCCCAACAACAACCATGTTTTGAATGGTTTTCGGGCCTGCAAGGGGAGGTCCCGCGATGGGACGAGGAGCGAAGAGCGCCAAACACAACCTGCCAATGCTGCCCGTCGTCCTCATCCCCACATTGCCCAGTGCTGATTACGCTTTGGCATTCAGTCACAGTGATGAAAACCTGCCAGGCCATAGGCCACTTTGTAGAGACCGACCTTTATGGGGAGCTTTAGACGTTGCGCCGCCAGGTCACGTCGATGCTCAAACCCACGCTACGGCCGGTGTTCGGCTGCCGCAATTGATTTGGAATCACCCCACCCTGGAATAACAACCCGCTTGTTAAGAATAGCAAGAGCTGGCCAAAATTGAAAGTCCAAACAACAATACCAACAGCCTGAAATTCCCGGTGAACCTTCCGGCCATACTCCCAACCTCCAGAATTCTGCCCTCGCCTGTAAACTTGAACATGTCTAGAAGCCGCTCTAGCAAAACGGAGCCCAATGGCGCGCCCAAAGGAGAAGCAGTCCATCCAACTGGTTGGTTCGCCTGCAAGTGGGTGATTTGAATCACTGGTCAGCCAGGGGGTGTCTCCTTCGCCAGTCACGCCTGAAGCCTAGGGGCTGCACAGGCAATCTCTCAAAAGAAGCGATGTGCGCCAGCAACCAAGGCCGGGATCGAGGCGTCAAAGCCAACGTGAGCGGAGCTCGCCCACAGAAGTCCTACGGGGAGCCTTTGACGTGTTAAAAATGCAAAGCCGGAGATGATTCACAACTTATGCTTCATGGGCTTCATAGAAACAACCTACCCTATCTACTGCCATTGCAGCGTGCAAGGGGGCCCCTTGCTCTGCAGACCTGAATGTCAAATCCCATAAGCCCATCCCAATTCCTTTCAAACAACTGGGATTGTCACCCCAATTTCCTGATGTGAACTTGATGAGCACGCCATAATGTCACGCCCTTAGCTTGCGTAGGCCATGGCTTATGCAACCCTTGTGCTTGATGAAATCGGCTTTGATGACCATCCTTACAGTTTCTAGGCCCTCCAGTAGAGAGGTTAGAATAAGGGTGCCCTTTTTTCTGTAGTCCAAGTCTATTTTCGTAGGGGAACCGGGAACCCTCCCAACCAAAAATGGGTAAAAGGGCACCTAGCTGGGGACCTAGGCTTGTTTTCTGAGAAAAACCACTATACACCACCTCATCCCAAGCTTTGGCGCTGAGCCACCGAGCCCTCTGAACGGAGCCCCGTGGTCGCTTGAGCCGGGCTGCACGTGTCTCGCACGCGCCCGTCAAAATTCCCTACCGATTGCTTTACAATCCTGCTGTATTCTGGCCGGACTCCCAAGCAGATCTGCCAAGTACCAAGCAAACGAAGCCGCTCGCTTTTGAGCATGGTCACCCAACAGGCAGACCCGAACAAACACGAACGCACTAACACAGGCAAAGCACAAACACACATAGACTAAACACAACTAAGATGGACATAAGAAGCCAACACACACACACAGATACACAAAAACACACATATACAGACACACACACCCACACACCCACGCACGCACGCACGCACGCACCCACACACACACACACAACAACAACAAAAAAAACACATACGCCCACAAACGCCAACAAACGCACACAAACCCACCCACCCACCCACCCACCCACCCACCCACCCACCCACCCACGCACGCACGCACGCACGCACGCACGCACGCACAGACGCACAGACGCACAGACACACAGACACGCAGACACACAAACACAAAGACAACACACACACACACACAGACAGAGACGCAGACACAGACACAGACACAGAGACACAGACACAGACACAGACACAAAAATACACACACAGAGACACACACACACACACACTCTCTCACACACGCTCTCACACACGCTCTCACACACGCTCTCACACATGCTCTCTCTCACACACACACACACACACACGCTCACACACACACACACACACACACACACACACACACACGCTCTCTCTCACACACACACACACACACACACACACACGCACACACGCACGCACGCGCGCACCCACACACACACACACACTCTTTCGCAGAATGGCATCCTTCCCGGGAACTTCTATTGGGTAGCCCGTCTTCACCCAGGAGCGGAACCGTCATGGGGCCCCAGCTAGCAGTGAGCTCACCATGATCCGGCAGCACTCATGGAGATTCGCGTGCGCTATCGTGCCTTAAGAGAGACATATGGCATCCGTGTTGGGCCTTCCAGCCAACCCTGCCGGCAGGCGTTGCGCAAGCGCGCAAGCGCGCGCTATGGTCCAAGTTCTGTGGCCGGTTTCCTCCTCGGAAAAGCCGAATCCCAACAGTTCCTAGACCCTCGAGTAGAGAGAGGTTAGAATAAGGGAGCCAACTGTTTTTCTGTTGTCTACGTAGAAAAAATCCCCTCCCAACCAAGAAAGGGGTGAGAAAGGGCACCTAGCTGGGGGACCTAGGTTCAGAAGGTTTTCTGAAGAACTTCCGGGGAGCCCCAAGTAAGCTGACACATCACTTCATGCGCTCCGCCCGAATTCTGGTTGCACGGGCCTCCTTCACTTGCCACCCTGGCCGCGCAGCATCACACAGACGAACCAGTTTCACTTGCCAGCCCAAACAAACAAGACACACACACACACACACACTAAGCACGAATCTTATTTAGCTGGGGGGTGGGCCCTTCTAGGTCCGCCAGTAGCGCCTCTGGGTTGAGACCCCCAAAGCTTTCAGCTGTTGGGGAAGAACTGCCTCACCTGGAATCTTCCCATCGATCGGCTGATCTCCCTCAAACGCTTGTGATTTTTTGGATAAACCTGTGTGAACCACTTGCCAAGTGGCGCAGGATTTCGTCCATCCACAGTACGTAAAGGACGACTTCTTTGGGACCCTCCGGGGAGCCCAAAAAACCAACAAAAAACCAAAACCCACCAAAACAGGGGCTAAAAAGGCAGCTGGGGTTGGACACCTTGCCTCGCCTGGGATCTTCCGATCGCTCGGATCGGCCGATCGGCCTCAGAGCACCGTGAAGTTGGCCCGGCAGATGGGGCAGGTCCGCCCGGCGCGGCGCTTGGAGGAGGACCAGGCCAGGCAGCAGTCCTCGCGAGAAGGACGGCCTGGCACACGCGCCATTTCCGAAGCCTGGCAGTCTGAGGTCACTGAGCTCTTCTATGCAGAGTCCTGAGATGTGTCACGGGAAGACCCCGAAAGTCGGGCTTGGGGCTCGAGGCACCCGTACCCTTCTCCCTAGGTCTCGCCCACTGTATTGACTAGGAGTTGGAGAAAAAATGAAAAATTCGGCGGGAGGTGTGGTAGTTTGGAGGTGTCTGGGCTGGGGGGGGGGGGGGGGCACTTTTTTTTGGTGGGGGGGGGACTTTTTTGGGGGACCACTTTGCGGGGCCACTTTTTTGGTTGATAAAAGGGAGCCACGTTTGTGTTTTTGAGGAGGCGGGGTCCCCAGTTTGACACACACCTGTCTAGGGAGGCTGCTGTGAATGATTCACAAGCTCATGATGTATTCAAAATATTCAAAGCAAAAGGGAAACCACTCTTTTTGGGGCCTCCCCATACGTACACCTGTAGTGAGGCTGCTGCGAATCATTCCGATCGAACACTTGGGGGCGTGCATGGGCGCCAATTGGATGTTTCAAAGCCTTTTCAATGGTAGCTTTACCTTTCGTCCCGCTTACATCTTCATCTCTACAGACCGCCCATAAGGGGGGGTTCCCCTATTTCCGCTGTTGATGATTCACGCACCCACATCACAGGGCACCATAGTTCTGGCTACCCAGCCATTCAAAGCGGTGCCTTGCTTCCTCTCGGTCGGAAGAGAGTCTGGTTCCATTGTTTGGTTCCCCTTGTGTTTTTGTCCCTTGCGATGTTCCCTTCCGCGGTACAGACCGCTTTAAATCCTTACTATTGCACGTACGGTTTCCTGCGGCACGTCTGGGACACACGAGCCCCGCAGCCTAATCATTGAGCATACAAGCAGATTGTTGCACTGGCAATTGCTCGAGCAAGACCCCAAGCGTAAAAAAACAGAAGCAAACGGACAAGACCTAACAAGGGTGACATAACAACAGGATCATTCTGAAAACACTTCCTAAACAGCTGAAGCCAACCTTGGTTGCTGTTGACCCCCCTGCAAAAAATATCACTTTTGGGGTTTTGGTGTAAAATCCCAAATGATTTCAACCAAAAAGTTAAAGTCTAAAGATCCGTTGCCCAATAGCAGTCAAGGTTTGGAACCAATCAAAGGGTTTGGTTACAGGAAGACCTCCAAAAAATGGCCCCAAAATGCACCAAAATACCCAAAACACGCTGTTTTCCTGAAGCAGTTCAGCAACCAACAAACCCCCCCTCCGCCTCTCCGCCCCTCCCATGTCCTCGTGGAAAAGGTGACCGCAGGGGAGCAGCGCAACCATCTGAGACGCCTGGTCATCTGAGTCCCACGCTTTCGGCCTGCCCAACTTCAGTTGAGAAACTTGGGGGCCATACTGTGCATGGACGAAATCCGTTTCGCACCACTATGGTTTCAAAGTGGTGCAGGATTTCGTCCACCCACACTAGGTGTCCAGGGAGTCAGGCTCAAGTTCCTCGTCACTTCTTTCGCCTCCCAAAGCAACGTACCCATGCGGCACGCCGCGGCTCGGCCATATGTGGCCTGTTGGCAAAATAGATGGGTTTCCCTGGTAAGTGGAATAACCCCTGTCTAAGCCAGTGGAACCCATATATTCTTAACCAAACTAACCTAAAAAGGACACCTATGTTGGGGGATGTCTTGGGCATGGCGGTTCCGAGCTTTCGGGTTGAGCTGGCACGCTCGTGTCGACTTAAAGTGCCCTGCTCTTCACACTGGGCTGGGTCAAGCCCTTCAAACTTGAAAGGAGGCCAGGGGTCGGTTGCTAGCTCCTCCAGTAGAGAGGCTACAATAAGAAAGCTACGCTGCCAGTTTCAAACGGCGATGTCAAAAAAAAGAGAGACTTGGTTGACGTTGGAAGGGGAGCAAAAATTCAAATTTTAGCAGTTAAGTGGGAAGTCCTCGCCAAACCACAATGAGCAAAAATGCAAAATGTTTCCCAACGACAACCAGAAACGAACCGGCAGGTCAGGGATGGTGCACGGCAAGCCGTGCGCAGGCAGGTCCCCTTCATCCCTCGTGAGCCGGGCCTGACTCCTTCACACCTACGCATGCTGCCAAGTCAAGCGAAAGCGCCCCAAGGTGGGGGCCATGTGGGGGTCATGACATACGTATACATCTTGCTCATGTGCATGTGTAACATGTGCATGCTCACATGATTGATCTCACTTTGGGAGAGCCGTGTTTGGGGTTCCGCCTGACTCCCAAAGCCCAGCAGAGCGCCCGGCTGGGTACCGACGGTGGCGCGCCTCAAAGTCATCCAGGCAGCAGAGGCAAGTCGTCTGATTTTTCAGGGACAGGCCACTCTCCAGCACCGACCTGAGTGCAGTTGCGGGAAAAGCCTCGCATACATGAACCAAGACAACCAAGACAACGGTTAAAAAAAATGTAGTGAATGGCTGCAATGGGCGGTGTTCAACCAAAACCGCCAAGGGGCCTGTGAAGGAAGGGGCTAGCTGAAGTGTGTATTAAATATTGATTCAACTCGGGGATTAACAATTTATAGGAGACCTGGTTGAACAGTTGGACAATGAGGCCGAATAGTATCGCCAAAAGCCGCGGAATATGCCCGGAACCTGCCCGGAATCCCCCGAAGCTTCGCAAAATGAATGAAACAAAGATGCTCGCTCGCCTCGCGGCTATGTTTGGGCGGGGGGAGGGCCGGGGGGGGGGGCATCCGGCCACGCAGCCCAGAAGGCCGCATCCATCCCTCTACCCCTTGGATGACCACTCCCGGTTAGCAAGTGTTGAATCTTCCCGGTGGACTTCGGCACCTTTTATTCAAGGAGCTGCTCGCGACTGACAAAGCAGGGCATGTCCACTGACCGTTCGCTGCCGGCGCATCGAGGACCACGAATTTGCAATTTGCCTCCCAGCCCCGAGACCCAACAGGACCATTTAACACTACGAACCAACCATTTGGAGAATCATGCTGCGTATGTTTCCTCCCTGCCCGCCTAAAGGATCTGATTAAATGATGACTTGTAGGACTCCCGTCTTATCCCGTCTTGCCGCCGAAACGCGCGACGTCCAGCACCTCTCGCTGGGGCGCCCCATCCGGGCCCTGATGGATGACCATCAAATGAAACTCCGGTGGCTCCTCCGCGCAGAGATCCTCCTGAGTGCAACGAGGAGCTGCTTCCACAGACCAGCGGAAACGAGTACAAGCATTGACGCCTTGGGGTGCGGGGCTGACCTCCCCAGCCAAACAAGAAAAGATGCCGGATCTTCCACAACCAATATGCCAAAAATAACATATATATATATATATACATATATATAAATAACCAACCAGTCGACCGTACAAGACCTAGGCAAAGACCAGCCACGGCCAGAAAGACCGAGGTCAGCGGCAGAAAATTGACCACCGGTGAAATCAAACGCCACCTGGTGCCATAGACGGAGAGACGGGGAGTCCGCAACAAAAATTGAACCTGCAATGCATGCAGAAGTGGGCGGAGCAGCCGACAATCTCACTCATATGAGGAGAGGCGCGCAATAAACTAAGGCAAGGTAGAGAAAGAGCTGCGGCCTACCTCCACAGACTGAAACACGCCAGTGCAAAAAAAAAAGACTTCGGGCAGGATGAAGACCATGGCCGCCGGTCGTCCCCCTTATTCCAATTCAATTAGGAAGCAGGTCTGCAAACGAATCGTGTCGACAACGTGTGGTTCCAAAATGGCGGGGCTGCTTCACACAGGGTTACATTGGCTCATCGGGGGATACCCGCCCCTAAAAAAAAACAGACACTCCCAAAATACAGGCCCGTGGGGCACCAAGACGTCTTGTTCAGCAGACGTCATACTTACCATTGGCCCAGGGCCTGAAAACTCCGCCGAGCCGAGCAGCGTAGCGCATCGCCGCCCAGCAGCGCCGCCGCACCTCCCGCTTCCTGGCCCGCAAGCTGCGAGCTGCGAACCGCCCGCGGCGGCGGGCTTTCTGCTCCCCTGCTAAAAGCGACTCACTTTTTGTGGGTTAATGCGGAAAACCACATGAGTTGGCACAAAGTGTTCAAGTCCAGACATCCCTTGGCATGCACCAAAGAGCTCCCGCTCCAACCACTTCGCTTCCCCTATCCGAGTGGATTGGCAAAAAAAAAGGTCTATTTGTCAGTTATTTACCACCCCCAAAAAGTGACAACAAAAGTCCATGAACTCAAGAAGTGCACTTCCCAACCAAACAAACAGCAACATATTTGACTGACAGTGGAACGCTCACCACTGCCTCTCCCTTGGATTGTTGCTTCTTGTTGTCCCTTCCATTCCTGTGGCAATCCTTGGGCCCGCTTCCCTACGTCAAGAAGCGCGAAAAGCGGAACGCAAAAACGAGAGGTGCGGCTTTCCGCTTGCCATTTACGGGATCAAAGTCAAGCAACTAGTGGCTGTGACCTGGGGGAAAGACTGCAACACAAAAACCATGACGTTTTCATGAGCCCACCGAGGCCTGCCCTTTTGAAAACAAAACGCTCGCCCACTCTCCAACAAGCATAGTTTGATACACGAGGAAGACACCTTCCCAGGTTGGTTAGAGAGTAACCTGTTTGGGGCCGCGACTTGAACTGAAACACTACTGAAACCAGCGTGGCACACCAAAAGTCAAAAGGTCGGCTTCAAGCAGCCGAGGCTTACCCCTAGATTGCCATCAGGACTTGTCCATCTTCTTTGGCTGGCGAGTCATGTGTTTGATGAAAAAATCCGTCGCTTCATCGCGAATCGGAGATCCCCGGCATATAGCTTGGAGGTTCCCTAACTTCAGTTGGGACCTGAACTTCTCACTGGCAGCACTGACCTCACCTCCTAGCAATGCCCGCGCGCTTTCTGGCTATTTGGTTGGATCTTTGGACGTTAAGTTCTTGGGAAGCAGTGGGTTTTCTATTGGACCCACAAAAGTTAAGCTTTTGCAGCGAGGTCAGCAGCAACCAAGGCCTGTTTCTTGTCAGCTGCCTCATTCAAATTCCTCCCATCAAGTTGCCTGTCCGTGGAGATAAGCGGTTCAGCCCTAAAAGGCCTGGGGGGAGAGTAAATCGCCCTGTGCCTTTGGTCCACAAAGCCCCCGGCAGGAGGGACGCGACAACCAAACGCAAGGGCATAAACAATGGTGCTCAGTTTCACCGGCGAAAAAAGCAACTTTGATACAAGACATGCAACAACGAAAACTCGCTTGCACCAACGAAGCAACAAATGTCGAGAGCTGGGTGCTGGCTTGCCCCAAACCCTGGGCACCCAAGACACCTACCCTCCCCGCTGTCACCACTGTCCGAGGTGCTTTTCGGTGTGCGAGCGCAGCTCCTGCATGGAAGTTGGCAAGCGCATCGAAGAAGTGTCTTTTTACAACTGGACCCTGTGTCGTAAGGTTTCTTCAAAGCCAAGAACACCAAGTCATAAACCTTTCCCCATTCGAACATGGACATCCCAAAGCCATGAACCTGTCGCCTGGTAGTTTTTTCAGCAAAACCGGTTGGTCCCATCACTTCCCGCAGCAGACGGGAAGGCTCCAACTTCAAGGTCCTTTTCGAGAGCCGGCTTGGCGAGGGGAATCCAAGTCAGATGGGATGAACTTCTGGATTGTTTTGTAACTTTCCAAAATTAGAAATAAGGGATCCCTAAGTACAGGATCTTTACCACGGTGAGCTCGATGAGCTCGCTATAAAAAAAAAATGTAGAGGATGTCCAAACAGTCTTTCCTTTGCTGGGAAGTGGAACGTGCAACTCCAGTGGCCCCCTTTTGGAAGCAAGCTATGTCGTTGAATTTTCTCGGACATAGGCACGTTGACTTGGCTCCCTGACCCCACCTCTTCTGGCACAGACATGGTGGGGGCGGAGGGCCGTCAAAGCGACTCTGCGCCAAATGCCATGAAAGGGGTCCCGGCCTTTTGGCAAACACATGGTGAAAGCCAGTATTTCTATTGCAAATCTTGTTCGGCGCTGGTCAGAGGGCACGCCGCTACCCCCCCCTTCAGCCTCATTCCGTTGGCCTCTGAACACCAAAGGGAACGAAGCAATCACACGACATGAAGCAAACATGTGGTGCCAAAAGTTTGACCCTTGCTGCTAAAGTGGGAATCCACTTTCCACCGGTTCCCCAAAAACCTCCACGGCGAAATATTCAGCCAACCAGCCGGCCCAAGATGTTTGTTCCCTTTCGGTTCTGGCCGAAAAGGGCCATGTCTCGGAGTTTTGACGGCCGCAGCAAAGTGTCCCGTTCCGCACCAAACAAGCGAGTAAACAACGATGCTCACATAGGTGTCCTTTTGGGAAAATAGATGGCCCTGGTGAATGGAATGAAACCTATCTAAACCAGTGCCATCTATTTCTAGCCAAAACAACCGAAAAAGGACACCTATGCATGCTCAGTTTCCGGGGTCAAGACGCCGACGCCGGCTCCTCCCGGCATCTCTCCAGGCGGAGCCGCGTCAACGTGCCCACGAAGATCAGCACGCAGGCCACCACGATGATTTCCTTCCCTCGGACGGAGGCCAGACCAAGACATCAGGCCAGAGATGATTCTAGGGGCTGATTCCTGTTTTCATTTTACCCATAATCATGGTTTACTGTGAGGGTTGTTTTAAATCTAGGGGCTGATTCCTTGTCCATTCTTTTTCAACCATTGTTCTTTTCAATAACCGGATCCCTTTTTTTCCCTGGGTTTCCGGAGGCTTTCTAGAAAGATTCGGATCCCTGGAAGAAATGGACATGGAAGGTCTTAGAATAATGGCAAACCCCGGCCTCAACGATCTGGATGCCCCAAGTGTGGGTCAAGCCTCCGGGATGGATCTAACCAAACCGGCCTGGAAAGAACCTGGCCAACCATCCCCAATCCAGCTGGATTCCAGCCATCAATAATACAAAGCGCGACTTCTTCCCAATATTCACTACCTCCCTTCCTTTCAACTTTCTCTTTCTCACTTCCCGAGTGCATTGGCCCAAACAAGTCGCCACACTTGTTGCTTATCACCAAAATGGCCCGACCCCAAAAAGTTGATCAAGCCCAGCACCTCAGGCCGCGATACATCTTCCCCTCATCCCAACCTGCGGCCATCGAATCGCCATCGAATCGCCATCGAAAATCGCCGGGCGCGCGCGTTTCTTTCCCAAGGCGCTGAAGGGTCGGATGGAGGGCACGGCCACCAGCAGCGGCAGCGCCAGGCCCAGGGAGATGATGCCGCCTAAAATTTCGCGCCACGGCCCATGGCAATGACGTGGACCCGGGATCTTTCAGAAACCAACCGCTTTATGTTGCTCTGAAAGTGACCCGTGCCAATGTGGAGTCCGAAAATGTGGAGTCCGAATGAACAAAAAAACCCAACCGGTTTATTGATAGCCATGCTGTGGATGGACGGAATCCATTTCGCACCACTTTGAAACCACGGGAAACCATTGTTTGTTGGTATTTACAGGGCAATCATTATCCCAGGCTTAAAAGGTGCAGGATTTCGTCCATCAACCACCTGGTTCGCCAGTTGCTGGATTTTGTTCCATGCACCTTACCCCCCAGAACCAGCAACAGTGACTGAACAAAAACAGCAAACAGCAGATCCAGGGGGACCAGAAGGAGGAGAAAGAGGCGTGAGACTTTTGGTGAAGACCCCATATCAATCAACCCCTCTTTCTGAATAGATGCTGGTGTTCCCCTCCAAGAGTGATATAAATCCTCACTGAAACCAAAAAACACCCCCCATCATAGTAAACATGAAATTTTGGGGTCAACGTTGCCCAATCAACTTCCACAGCCAAACTGATTGTCAAAGGGTTGGGTTGCAGAAAAAAAATACAGCAGAACAGCTTATTTAGGGGTGTTTCTCAATAAAAGACAAGCCCTGCTGTGTTTGGGGCCCTGTCCTGCAGGTGTTCCTGTGACCAAACCCTTTGAGAGGGAATGTACAGGTGAACGACATACGTGTACGTACACATTGACCGTCATAGATATACAGGCGCTTCTTTGCGGCATCTACCATCTACCACCTGGGGGTTAAGGATATGAGTACCCAAGCACCCTGGTGAGGAAGTCTGGCGTCAGGGGTGCGTTTTGAACCTGCAGGTCACCCAAGTAAGCAGAAACTTTGAGAAACGACGCCTAAGATTGGAGCGGCTTCCTGCAGTCTCCCGGGGAACTTTGAAAAACCAAGCTCGCCAAAAGACGCCTTGTGAACAAACCGCGTGTGAAGTGTATGTATGGTTGCGGGACGTCAAAGGATTCCAGGAACCAACGCTTCAATTCTGCCACAAGTTCACTTGGCCGCCGCTTTGGCTGGAACCAGGGGCTTCTCACCTGCCCAAAGGACCTAAAAATCCGCGGCTAAGCTTTTTGGACCATGGACCATGACTAAACATTGGCCAACATCGGGTTGCAGTGCCATGGGGCAACTGGGAGACTTCGCAACCCTTGGCATGGGCTTAGAAACAAACTTCAGGGTTTTTTTTTGGGGGGGGCAGCCCCCTACCCCTACCAAACATGAACAGAACCAAACAAAAACCCGGCGGGGAGGGGGAGAACGAAACACCGAAAAAGCACCAAACAACTTGACCAAGCCGCAGCTCAGCGCCGTGAACGGCCGCAGCTTGGAGGCGCCAAACCCGCCAAACATGCTGTTCCCGCCGTCCAT